TCTTCAATCAAGAATGTTTACCCAAATACATAACTGGAAAGATCTCGGCAATCCCCAGTGGCTATCATGATGCAGTCATTCTAGTCGTGTTTCCATTGAGCGGAAGTCTGTGACTTTCTGGGATACAGGACTAGAACACCAAGGAGTGGTTTCCAGGGAAACTTTAAATAGGAGTCCCGAAGACTCACTGTATACAGATCTCAAATACTTTTCACTAAGCTACAATCAAAAAGCATGTGAGAGACCATGAAAGTTATGCTTTCTAAGTAGGGACTTTTCACACCCCTGAGGAAAGACACAGTGGGAGTATTCAGGAGGATCTGTGTACTTAGAAATGTAGTTATGGGGGCCGCCGCTGTGGCGTAGTGGGTAAAGCCACCACCTGCAGCGCCAGCATCCCATATGGGTGCCGGTTCGAGTCCCAGCTGCCCCTCTTCCAATCCCACTCTCTGCTATGGCCTGAGAAAGCAGTAGAAGATGGCCCAAGCCCTTTGGCCCCTGCACCCATGTGGGAGACCCTGAGGAAGCTCCTGGCTCCCGGCTTTGGATTGGCACAGCTCTGGCCGTTGCAGCCAAATGGATGTGAACCAGCAGATGAAAGACCACCCCCTCTCTCTTTCTCTCTCTCTCTCCCTCTCTCTCCCTCTGCCTCTGCCTCTCCTTCTCTCTGTGTGTAACTCTGACTTTCAAGGTTTGTATCCGTGTTCTGCCATTTACTAATTGTATGGCCTTGAACAAATCACTAAATATCCTTTTCTTTTGAGAAATTTTAAGAAAATCAGTACTATAACTCCCCTCTGAATAGTATGACATATGTCAGAAATGTCTCTATCAGAGTGCCTGTATATAGTAGATATTCAAAAAATGGTAGCTTACCTTCCTCTGTTTTTTCAGTTTATGCAAATGAACAAGGTAGAGTTCGTCACAGAACTCTCTGGCTGCTATGTAGCTTTCCAGGCTGCAGATGAAAGTCTGACCCTGTGGCTCTCCAGAATGAGACGAGGAGACCTTCTAGATGATGATGATGACGATGATAGACATAGATGACCCACCTGCACCCCATCTGAAGTGCATGTTTTTCTATTTTGGAGTAAACTTGCCAAGGCAATAAGCTGTCTACGGCATAATGTAATCTCCAACAGATCTTTGGAGAAGGTGAAGATTGAGACCAATACAGTCAACTGACATCTGCTGCCGGGAGAGAGCAAGGGTAGCCCCAGGTGTAGGAGCCCGGAGCAGAGCTAGTGCACCCTCACTGGGGCAGAGCAGTCTTGGTGAATTAGCCCCTGAGTCCATGCTGTGCCGGCAGGGCAGCACGCGAATGGGGCTGCAGATATGGAGGGAGAAAGCCAAGAGGGGTCCTTGGATAGCGATTAGTGTGCTTTGTCCTTGTGTACCACATAGGTGACTGGGAGAAGAGGAAAACTCTCCAGTCCCTGTAGCATTGCTGCCTGCACATTTAATGCTTGAAAATTTGACTCCAGCTCATGCAAATGTTTCTGTTTTTCTTCAAAGGATGTAATTTTGTTACGTTTGACCATGTTTCCAACTTACAGGAAGGGAGGGCTTTGGACTGTTTACGTTTTCATCTGACATTCTTTTGTCCTAAGGTTTTCATTTGACTTAGTCAGGAAGCAATGCCATGTGACGAAGAGGGTGAGCAGGGAGTGTCAGGAAGTCTGGATGCCAGTCTAATAATTATAATTTATTCCCAGGGCAACTGGGAGCCTCTGCGTGTCTTTTTTTTTTTTTTTTTTTTTGACAGGCAGAGTTAGACAGTGAGAGAGAGAGACAGAGAGAAAGGCCTTCCTTCTGTTGGTTCACCCCACAAATGGCTGCTATGGCCGACGCACTGTGCCGATCCGAAGCCAGGAACCAGGTGCTTCCTCCTGGTCTCCCATGTGTGTGCAGGGCCCAAGCACTTGGGCCATCCTCCCATTATAAGAAGTTGTTCTTTTTAGATATGTGGATTTATGAGTTTTCTATGGTTGCTGTAACAGATTATCACAGGCAGCTTAATATGATAAACCTTAATATCTTATGGGACTGCAGGTCCGAAGTACAAGGTCTAGATTGCAGGTCAAGATTTCACTGGGCTAAAGTCAAGGTGTCAGCAGAATTGTGCTCTCTTCTGTGGAGAGCCCATTTCCTTGTCATTCAGGTTTTTGGCAGAATTCAGTGGAATTCTGTAAATTCAGTTCAGAATTCAGTAAAGTCTCCATCTCCCTGCCAGCCCTCGGCTGAAGGCCTCCTCCAGCCCCTGGAGACTGCTCACTGCTCACATTCTTCTTCTTTTTGCCCCTTACTTCATTTGCAAAGCCTGCCGTGCAGGTCAAGTCCTTTCCATGCTGTGCCTATATCCTGCCTCTTCTTCTGTTGTTGCAACTCTAACCAAACCTTTACCTTTCCTTGTCTGCATCTAAGGGTGCTGTGATTACACCGGTCACTTAGGATAATCCAGGATAATTTCTGCAAATCAAGGTCCATAGCCATGATTACATCTGATTATATTATTTTCACAGGATTAGAATGGACACCTTTGCAGGGCCACTATTCTGACCAGTGCAAGACTCATTACAGTGTAGATTGCACTATAAACCAAGAGAATAGAAAATACTCCCTTCCCTCTATCAAAAAAAGAAATAATAGAAATAAAGGATTACCAAGGATGGTGTATGATGCTGTGTCTCGACTCTTCACCTGCTGGGAGGTTACTATGCCAATGCTTGTCCTGCATGTCCTAGTCTCTTGGGTATAGAGAGTCCCTCTGTCACTATGCTTGAGACATCTAGAGAGGTGCTTGTCTCAGGCTGTTTGAGCTGCTCTAACAGTGTAGAGGGGTTTCTTATGGGCAGTTGTGGTTCTGGGAGCTGGACAATTCAAGATGAAGCCACCATCAGATGCAGTGTCTGATGAGAGCCTGCTTCCTGGTTCATAGACTGCTCTGTCCACGTCATACACGCACAGGGTAGAAGGCAGCTCTCTGGGGCCTCTGTAGGCACTGATTCCATTCACCTCCTTAAAAAAAAAAGGTTTATTTATTTGAAAGGAAGAGTTATAGAGGGGGGAGGAGGGAGAGAGTGAGGGAGAGGTATCTTCCATTTGGTTCACTCCCCAGATGGCTGCCATGGCCAGGGCTGGGCCAGGCTGAAGCCAGGAGCCTGGAGCTCCATCCAGGTCTCCCAATGGGTGGCAGGGGCCAGGCACTTTGACCATCTTCCACTGCTTTTCCAGGGACATCAGCAGAGAGCTGGATTGGAAGTGGAACGGATACTCTAAAAGGCACTTGGGATAAGAGATGGCAGCATTACAGGTGGTGGCTTAACCTGCTGTGCCACAACCCCAGACACCAGGACTCTGGGGATTCGGATTCAGCATACAAATCTCCAGTGCACACAGCATGCGGTCTATAGCCATGCTCTACCAGCTGCTCAAGCAGGGAGCTGGCACCTGCCTTTCTGCCTGTATTCAGTCGTGATCCATGGCTAACCCAGCTGTGCCCTCTACCTCTTCCCCAGCCATCTCTGTGTCAGGCTGGCTGCTAACCCAGCTGTGCCCTCTACCTCTTCCCCAGCCATCTCTGTGTCAGGCTGGCTGCTAACCCAGCTGTGCCCTCTACCTCATCCCCAGCCATCTCTGTGTCAGGCTGGCTGCTAACCCAGCTGTGCCCTCTACCTCATCCCCAGCCATCTCTGTGTCAGGCTGGCTGCTAACCCAGCTGTGCCCCCTGCCTCATCCCCAGCCATCTCTGTGTCAGGCTGGCTGCTAACCCAGCTGTGCCCTCTACCTCATCCCCAGCCATCTCTGTGTCAGGCTGGCTGCTAACCCAGCTGTGCCCTCTACCTCATCCCCAGCCATCTCTGTGTCAGGCTGGCTGCTAACCCAGCTGTGCCCTCTACCTCATCCCCAGCCATCTCTGTGTCAGGCTGGCTGCTAACCCAGCTGTGCCCCCTGCCTCATCCCCAGCCATCTCTGTGTCAGGCTGGCTGCTAACCCAGCTGTGCCCTCTACCTCTTCCCCAGCCATCTCTGTGTCAGGCTGGCTGCTAACCCAGCTGTGCCCCCTGCCTCATCCCCAGCCATCTCTGTGTCAGGCTGGCTGCTAACCCAGCTGTGCCCTCTACCTCATCCCCAGCCATCTCTGTGTCAGGCTGGCTGCTAACCCAGCTGTGCCCTCTACCTCTTCCCCAGCCATCTCTGTGTCAGGCTGGCTGCTAACCCAGCTGTGCCCTCTACCTCATCCCCAGCCATCTCTGTGTCAGGCTGGCTGCTAACCCAGCTGTGCCATCTACCTCATCCCCAGCCATCTCTGTGTCAGGCTGGCTGCTAACCCAGCTGTGCCCTCTACCTCATCCCCAGCCATCTCGGTGTCAGGCTGGCTGCTAACCCAGCTGTGCCCTCTACCTCATCCCTAGCCATCTCTGTGTCAGGCTGGCTGGTGTGGTGAGTCTTCCTTCCCTGGGTCTACGGGATGACAGGATGACATCTTCACTCGCCCTGGAGGCATTCCTCTTGGCTTTGACTTACGGTTGTTAAGCCCGTCCTGGAGTTTACTTTCCACTCCCCACTGTCCCACTGGCTCTCTACCGCATGCGCAATCAATGCAGCCCTGAACGTAGCTGAGCCTATTCTAGTACCTGAGACCTCAGCCACAGTGAGCGTCTTCAGCCCTTCGAATGGGGAGAGTAACAGGGAAGTAGGAGACAGCATCCCTCGTGAATCTTTGGACTACCCAATGGTATTCAGGTGATCGGCATGATGGAATTTAAAGTTTGATTCTTTGGGTTCCATTCCAGGCTCTTATACCCCCCAGCTATGAGTAATGTTGTCACCCTTTTTAGTCTCAATTTTCTCATTTGTAAGACAGGGATAAAAGAACTCTAAAGGTTTACTTATGAACATAACCCAGTCCAGTGTAGTCACTGCTTTTGCTTGCTTTTGGTTCTTTGTATCATCACAGGACGCGAGCAGACACAGAAACAAGAAAATCAAGGCTACTGGTCTCCTGTGCCCAGAGATTTTAATTTGGAGATTTATTTCGAGGGTAAGGAGAATATGAGCCTATTTAGTTAAAAGCAGAGCCAGCAGGTGCAGAGGGAGAAGTGCCGTCTCAGTGTTTCTTGTCCTTGGTGGTTGTCTCAATCCAGGACACGTATTTGTAAACGTTGGTGTAGATGCCGACGTCCCCTCCCATGAAGTGACCGACCTCGATTCCCTGGAGTTTGTTCTTGCAGAGGACCGTAGCGACAGCCACCTCCTACCCGAGGTCGTGCGGAGGGAGGGAGGGAGGGAAGGAGGGAGAGATCAAATCCTTTCCTCACAGGAACCTGCCCCTAGTCCCTGACCTGAGTGAGCCTCGCCTAGAAGCAGTGTGTATACTGTGAGAAGAGCAGTGACTGGGGCAGGGTGCCTGGCTTCTTCCCCTAGAGTGGCTGTCACAGCCTTGTGTGATCCTGAGAGAGTCAGAGAACAGCCTCTGTGAGATGTGTAACATCTCATTGTTTAAAATGGTTGAGGCCGGTGCCGCGGCTCACCAGGCTAATCCTCCGCCTTGCAGCGCCGGCACCCCGGGTTCTAGTCCCGGTCAGGGCGCTGGATTCTGTCCCGGTTGCCCCTCTTCCAGGCCAGCTCTCTGCTGTGGCCAGGGAGTGCAGTGGAGGATGGCGCAGGTGCTTGGGCCCTGCACCCCATGGGAGACCAGGAGAAGCACCTGGCTCCTGCCATCGGATCAGCGCGGTGCGTCGGCCGCGGCGGCCATTGGAGGGTGAACCAACGGCAAAGGAAGACCTTTCTCTCTGTCTCTCTCTCTCTCACTGTACACTCTGCCTGTCAATAAATAAATAAATAAATAAATAAAATGGTTGAGCCAGTTTCTGTTTGTGGAAAGTTTGCGTTTTTATTAACCCATGCCTGTCGTCACTGTTTAATTTGCAGCTGTGAGAATGAGCACCTAACAGAGTGTGATTAACTAGAGGCATTACATGATCCTTGTTAATGAATAAAGATACTTGGAGAGGAGAGTCAGTTCCTGAACAAGCAATGGTGGCTTTGTGGCTGCAGACTTATAAATTCACGAAAAATATTTGGAAATTAAAAATAATATTTTATGTTGAGGTTAAGTGGGCACATGCAAGTAAATGAAGGTGAATATAGAGAAATGATTACCCCAAAAATTCTGCTGAATACTTTGATAAATTTAACACACAAGGAGTTCCTGTGGTTTCTCCCTTGTTCAGTTTTTTGGCACTCTTTGTCGGACATCACCGGGGCCTCTAGGTTCTGCCGTAGGTCAGGATGTCTGCCTGAAGGAAGACGGGGATAAAAGAAAGAATCACACGTGTTATGTAACCCATCTACCCACCGCTCGCCTTCAACTGGAGTCCTTTCTTGTTTGCTTTTAAAGGATGAGAAAAGGGGGCTGGCACTGTGGCTCAGCAGGTTAAGCCACCACTTGTGACACTGGCGTCCTATATGGGCACGCTGGTTAGAATCCTGGCTGCTCTGCTTCCAGTTCAGCTCCCTTCCCATGTACCTGGGAAGGTAAAAGATGATGGCCCAAGTGCCTGGGACCTGGCCACTCCTGTGGGAGACCCAGATGGAGTTGCTGGCTCCTGGCTTTGGCCTATTGTGGCCATTTGGTGGGTGAACCAGTAGACAGAAGATCTCTTTCTCTCTCTGTCTCTGTCTCTCTCTCTCTCTACCCCATTGCTTTGCCTTTAAAATAAATATATAAGTAAATAAATATTTGTAAAAAAGGAGAAAAAGAGAAGAAATTAACTTGAGTATGGTTATGAAAATTAGTCCTCAGTTTTTTTTTAAAGATTTATTTATTTGAAAGTCAGAGTTACACAGAGAGAGAAGGAGAGACAGAAAGAGAAAGGAGAGACACAGAGAGAACTGGTATCTGATGGTTCACTCCCCAGATGGCCACAATGACTTGGGCTGGGCAAGGCTGAAGCCAGGAGCCAGGAGCTTCCTCCAGGTCTCCCACGTGGGTGCAGGGACCCAAGGACTTGGGCCATCCTCTGCTGTTTTCCCAGGACATTAGCAAGGAGCTGGAATGGAAGTGGAACAGCCGGTACTTCAACCGGTGCCCACAGGGGATGCCAGTGTTGCAGGCTGTGGCTCAACAGAGAGGACACCAGTGTGAAGTTTTTGAGCGAGTCTGTGTGTCTCTTTAAAAAGTGGAGTTTTCTGTCTGGTTCATGTCTGGTCAGGGAGGAATAAGAAGCTGAAAGGAACAAGTCCTTTGCATGTGACATGTGTGGATATGGGATATGCGTGTGACTTGTGCCTGTGACACTCAGGATTGGTATGGCCTCTGTGCACTGTCAGGTGGCCTGGTGGCTCCTGAAGAAGCTTAGACAAATGGGGAGAAGAACCCCTGGACTTGTAGGCAGGTCTGTTTGTGCCAGGCCACTCCTGTAGCTCATGCCGTGGGTCTTCAATCCCTCTCCTCCCCTCTTCTGCTCACCACCCTGAGGACACGGGTCTCCTACTCACAGTGACTGACAGCCTGGATTTACTCGGGAGAGGGACACTCACCACTGTTTTCCTGGCTCCAGTCCAAACCTGACAGCAGACAGACGGTTCCTGGCCGGATATTGCTGGTAGCAAGGGCCAGGGGCTGGACTTTGTGGTTAAGGGCGGCAGGCTTGGCCAGTTTAATGAGCATGAGGTCATCCTGTGGGGAGGTGTCATTGTAGTTCCAGTAGCGAATGATCTGGATAGGGTTGATCGTCTGCTCTGTGCCGTCTCTGACTCTGCTCTTGAAGTTTCCCAGCATTACTTTCAGATTCCTGGAGGATGGAGGGTTAGAAATAATGACATCACCATCACCATCATCTTCTTCTTCTTCATTGCTAAGATACTGAATGTTACAATATGCCACGTACAAGTGACCAGTGCTTGATCTGGATTATCTAATTTAACTTGCAGTAAGTCCATGCAGTGGATCCTATTTTTATCCCCATTTTATAGACGAGAAAATGGGGGCACATAGGAGTAACTTACCTATGGTCATTCAGTGAGTGGTGGAGCCCGTAACCACCACATTTTTCTGTAGTGTACTCAATGGAGTGTAGAGAAAAATAATGCGTGCCTAAGAAATTTTCCATCCTCTGCAGCCTATCAAACTGGACAGTTTCCTTTTTGATGAGGACTGGGGATAGAATGACTTCAGTGTTGGATAGTTCCTGCTTGTCTCACTAAACCCATTGACAATGCCCCTCCACATTGCTGTGGACTTCAGGAAGCTGACTTTCTGTGGATTAAATCAACGGTCTCTTTTGTCCTCTGACTGCCTATTGGGTTTTGTTCAACAGAAAGCACCAGAGATAACTGAAGGGAGAAAGGTGAGGTTGGAGTATTTACCCTCTCAGCCCTGTGCTTGCAGTATTGCCACAAATTGCCTGTGTCACTTGACAAAAGTTACTGTTCCTATTATATTGTGTCTCCATGTAGGAGTCAGTTTCTCTGTTTCTCTCCATGGAAACCACTCTTTCTAGAGGTAGTCATTGAATTTTTGTGACACTGATCCTGGGAGTACAGAACTAGTCTTTGCATTTTCCCCATGACATCACCATATCTTTACAATTAGCTCTTTCAAAAACCCTCTTCAATTCACCCAGGTTGAGTCCATTATCAGTCATCTCTGGACTCTGATGAAATGTGGTCAAATTGCCAGGAAAAGAGAAAACACTTGAAAAAGTTGTAGGAGACTGAGAAGGTATAATGTGTAGCACAGAGTTCCTCAGTAGTGGCACTATTGGCATTTTGGGCTGGACAGTGTTTCTAGTAAGGGACTGTGCTGTGCAATGTGGGATGTCTGGGAGTACCCTTGCTCCAGCCTATGCCCACTCGAAGCCCGGGGCTCTGTTCTCCAGTTGTGATAACTGGAAACGTCTCTGATATTGCCCAATCTACCCTGGAAGGAGGTTGGTCCCTTGAGAATCACTGCTGTAGAAGGAACAGGAGCTGTTTCGGGGGTGGGGGATGCCCAGTACTCACGGTAAGTAGCAGTGAGCTGGGGCTAGAACCCAATCAGTTTTGATGAGGACACCCACACAAGGATTAAAGTGAGATTTGAGGTATACCAAGTAGGGAGCAGGGTCTTCTTTCTGGACAGACGAGTGAGCGAAGAAAGATGCCCCTGGGAAAATAATTGAAAAGGAGTCACCGATTTCCAAGTTGGAAAGTATGCGCAGTTTTAAAGAAGTCACCAGTTGGCCAGGAAATGTGACTATTTGACACTTTTTCCTCAATAAGAATATAAATTAACATGATATTGTATATAACACCTATAATAATAATATTTTCTTAGTGATTAATAATCTAATAAAATAATGAGAAACACTTGAATTTACTGCTTGTAAACTGATTCAGATTTTTTGAAAAGTCATCAGGAATTGTACATTGCTTATCAACTGTGACCTCATAATTCCTACCCAAGAATATATTTTAAAGAAACTATCAAATCTAGATAAAGATTTTGAATAAGTGTGTTAGTTGAGCACTATTTATAAGAGTTGAATTAGAAACATGAATGTCTGATATGGTAAAGTTGGGCATTGAAAAACAGATGCACATGATAAGGAGAACATCATATATATTAAAATTGTACTTATGAGAAATATCAAACAGCAAAGGAGATAATAATGCTTCCTTAATTTAAAAAATAAAATGTATAGTGCAATATATTTTTCTTAGAACAACAAGTTAAAATATATCATTGAAATAAAAATTAATATATTGTATGTGGTAATACATTCAAAGTATTTGCAGCATGTATTGATGGGGTGGGATTCTGAATGAAGGGTTTTTTTCCCCCTACTTAGAAAATTTTCAAATTTCTAATATGAAGATACATCTCATAAATGAATTATTAAAAGGAAAAACTCTAGAGAATAAAGGGGAAGGAGGCCAAATCTAGTGTCAGAAATAAAGCATTGCTGTGTCTTGTCTATTTGGGTACTTTTGTTAATACTCCCCCAAACAGAGCCTTAAATTCCCCAGAGTGTTCTCTGTGTGATACCATAATCAGAAATCCCGAGGGGAAGAGGTGGCGGTATTAATAGGGCAAGAGACCGAGCTCGATAGCCGGCATGACTCTGAGTACTTTATGTTGATTCACTGAATCTCTACAACTGTATAATATAGGTATTAAGTGCCCCATTTTGGCTGAAAACTGAAGCATGGGTGAAGTAAGTAGCTTTCCCGATCTCACACAGGTAGTATGCGGTAGAGCCTAGACCGACAGGGGGTGATGAGCGATATCCTATCCAGAAGTTCTGCCATCAGAAGACTGTAGGGATGGAAGGAAAGGTGATCTCTTCTCTCCACCTTCTCTGGCCTCTACATTCTGAGTATCTGAAGTTTCAGTACCAGTTTCTAGCCTAGAAACCACACTAGGACTTGCCCAGAGGGTGATGAGGTACCCATTTTTAATACACTCACTGCCGAGCGCTCTCCAGGGCAAGTGTGTGCCATAACCCACCCTAGTACTTGGAACTAGAAGAAGGGACTCCACCTGTCCTGGAAGACTTTGGGTGGGATCTGAGAGGGAGAGCCCCTAATTTCGCTCATGACAGTGTTCTGTGACTCTTCTGCACCCTTCACACGTTCTACCTCCGTCTCACCCAATCCTGCATTAGCTTTTGACTTACAGGACCAAGTGGAAGGTGCCAGATACTCACCAGCAAGGATACACAGATAGAACGTAAATTTCATGGTGGTCTAGTTTCCCTGTGATATGTAGAAGAAGAGCAGCAGCAGAGTGTGGAGCCCTCAGCTCAAGTCGTCTCAAGAACGCCTCCTAAAATTGGTGGAGATGGACAGGAATGAGACACTTGGGATTGGAAAGTGGCTTTGGGCATACTCAGGGCAGGGAGATTCGTGGAGCCATCTCCGGATGGACAAATGGAGGCCCCTCTGCTCCAGGGATGGTGGGGGACTCAGTTTCTACTGGGGCCTTTCATGAGAGGAAACGGCAGCTTAATTCCTTATATTCCTGGGTCTGTGCCCCTCTATCTGCCATTCTTAAAAGCCCAGGTGACTGAAGCGAGTTCAGTTCTCTGTGGGAAAAGGAGCTGTAGACCAAGAACTTATCTTGCCCACAAAGTTTCTGAGGCCAGAATTCTTCACCTTAGCTCTTGGGGACAGTGTCCTGCAGGTGTGCTCTGAACCCGACTGGTTACTTATTCTGTCCTCAGCCCCTCCCATCTTTATGACACTAGCATTACCTTTGCCTTTGATCACTGTTCCATCATCCGGTCGTCATCACCCTTGGTCCTGTCCGGAGCCAGCGGCCCTGAGGTAGAGTAGTGAGGAACTGAGACGTCTCTCCTAGAGCAGTTGTCACAGCAGTTTGCCTTCTGGATGGTTTGCGTATCTAGGATCTAATGTGTGTCTGTGAGAGTTCAGAGGGCAGCTCTTCTAAATTCTACCTACGTGCTGCAAAGCTTTTCACTAGTAACACACTACCTCAGCCGTGCTTGGGTGCTTGGAAGCACACTTTAACTAGAAACAGTGTGGTAGCCCTAACCACTGACATTCATTAAGCACTGTGGAATCCCAGGCACCAAGCTGACTTATCAGGGGTGATTTTATATAAGGTTAGAGATCCAAAATGACTTAATACTTCATATAAACCCTTTATACTTTGTTAAACTCATACTCTCATCCCAAGGCCACAACTGGGGCCGATATCATCTCTTTTTTATCTTTCCTGATATATGGGTAATGGAACTAAGGCAGAATTTAAGTGATTTCCCCAGTGACACATGGTAGAAGACAGGAAGTTGAACCCAGGTTTTGCCACTAGGTGCCTGCACTTGTCAGCCATATCGTCCAGGCCACAGCCCATCAGCCAGCATGGATGTTGTAGATTTGTACAAATCCCCTGCCGCGTGGATTGAATGGCACAGCACAGACTCCTGAACCTCACAGCAGGCCCAGAGGTGTGCTGGGGGTCAGGCTGGATTGTGAAATGTAGTTAAGTTTGGAAGACAGGGTGCAGTTGTGGGGACTTTTCTGTGTATCAGAGTGGGGCAGAGGAACAGTTGGAAAGACTTTTCTCTGACGTTGTTTTCCCGAGTTTTCATAGATTGTGGGTCAGAGAGGAATCTGTGACTTGGTTTTGAAGTGTGAGGTCTGAGAACAGAAAAGCAGGACCACTAGATCTCTAGAGGAGGTTAGCACTGGGGACTGCTGTCTGTCTATGAATTTCCAATGGATAAGTGCAGATCAGACTTCTGGTCGCATATGCACAGTCGCCTGCTGGAAAACAGGATATGTATAGCTCCTCCAGCCCCTGAAATGTGGCAGATTAAAATAAAACTCTTTATTCCTCTAGGCTTTTAAATTCATTCTTGGGCCTGTATTCTATATTTTTCAGGGACAACTCTCTCCTTCACTTGTTTGACTTCAGTTTTTCTTACCACTAAATCCTGAAGTCTATCGCATTTCCAAGAACCTTTTGGATCTCTCCACGTCTTTTCCTTCTCATTGCGAGCAGCCTGATCCTGCCCATAGTTTTGTCTCCCTTGTACTAATAGGCGTGTAACCAGACCAAGCACATCTTTCTTTGTCCTTTCACATTCTGAGGACTACCAAGTCTGTGACTACTTAGCGTGTTTATTCACACAGATTAAATAGTGCTCGCTTGTAAGTGCCTGAGACTGGCCTGAGAAAGTCAGTTAAATTTGCAGAGTAATCCAGCCCCGCCCAGCAGTGTGAACAGAGGGTTCAGTTTGTTGTAACAGAATTAAAGAGGATCAAATAACTAAGTACACAGTAAGCACGGGCTCATCCTGAACAATGACAACCTGGAATCCCGTAAGAAAGTACTTTGCCTCTTTCAGACCCCAGCCAAATGGCATTTGCAGTGGTCTGGTTTTCCAGAACACCCTGCTAATCCCTCCTCATGCTGAGGTCAAACCATCAAGCAAGCTTCCCTGGGAACTACACCGATGTCTGAGACACCCTGCCATCAGACCTACTACCGGCTCCAGCACCTGACTCGCAGCCCAGCTTCCTCTGTGGTTTCTAAAAGCCCACGCCGTCCTCGCCCAGGAGGTGGTAGATCTTGAGCTTGCTGCCCCTCCTCTATTAATAGGTTATCTCGGCCGGCGCCGCGGCTCACTAGGCTAATCCTCCGCCTAGCGGCGCCGGCACACCGGGTTCTAGTCCCGGACGGGGCGCCGGATTCTGTCCCGGTTGCCCCTCTTCCAGGCCAGCCCTCTGCTGTGGCCAGGGAATGCAGTGGAGGATGGCCCAGGTGCTTGGGCCCTGCACCCCATGGGAGACCAGGAAAAGCACCTGGCTCCTGGCTCCTGCCATCGGATCAGCGCGGTGCGCCGGCCGCAGCGCGCCGGCCGCGGCGGCCATTGGAGGGTGAACCAACGGCAAAGGAAGACCTTTCTCTCTGTCTCTCTCTCTCACTGTCCACTCTGCCTGTCAAAAAAAAAAAAAATAAAAAAAAAAAATAAAAAAATAAAAAAATAGGTTATCTCCCTCCTCACTCTCAATCTTGTCCTTGTTGTTTGGATTTGACCATGAGGACAGGGACCGAGCTTTCGGTAACATTTGTACCTCTCAGTCGTTCCTCAAGACGACATTCTGTATTTTGCTCAGGATAGTAATTTTTCTATAATGTAGAAAGATATTATTTATTTCCTGCTTAAGACTTTTCCACCGTTCTGTATTGCCTCGGGAGAAAGTCCAGTCCTCAAGCATCGGGGGGGCACTCCCTCCCCCTCCACCCCTCTGGAGCCACCCTGTGGTCCTGTCTGCTCTGTGCCCACCTCTCATCTACTCATCTACCCACCACACACAGTTGTATCTGGGCCTAGAAAGCTTTCCAAGAGCAGACTTTCTTGTTTCAATATTAATGACTTTAGCCTCTGAATGCTTCCTTTAGCTGGAATGTACCACTCCCCTCCCCCCATTTTTTTTAAGGATACTAATATTGATACAAGCGTTTTACTTAAAGCTTCTCTTACAAAAACACTAGACTCCTATGGCTGGATCAGGGGTGTGTGTGTGTGTGTGTGTGCGTGTGGTGTGATATCCAGTGTTGCCTCATATTGGCAAATGTTTTGATCTTAACTTCTTTACCTATTAGTGCTGTAGATTCCATGTACATATGCTTCTGTCTGCCCCCGGTCACATTCCACAGAGCAGCTCTGATTTCTAGAGATACTGCAGCTAACATTGTATCATTTCACCATCCTCACTGATTTTTTTCCTTGGCATAACATATGTACTTGATGTATTTTGCCACCAAAATTCAATTATTTAATTTGAAAATGGCAACTACAGAGAAAGAAAGGGGGAAAGCCATGTTAGCAAGGGGAATGCAGTGACTGGTTGGAGAGATACAGCGAGAGCTACTGACACTGACATTGGCTGTGAACTCAGTTCAAAACCATGTTGTTACGAGATATAACCTGTGCAAGTAAAGCTATCCTGAAGAGGAGTGGGGGTGTGACTGACATACATAAAGGGGTGGGGAGTGGGTGTCACACAGAGGGGTGGAGACCCACCTGGGCTGTGCGAGGGAAGGAGGAAGTCAGTGGGACATCTGGAGGAGGAGGATGCCAGACACACCGTGCAGGGAAGGAGCCAGAGAAAGGAAGCGAGAGGCCGGAGGGGTGGCACTTGACTCACTAACACCACAGGCGTGACTCCACAGAAGCTTCTCCTGGCTCCTGCTTTTTCCTAAACAAGGTGGAGAAAGCGCAGATTCCTAAGCCAGGTTGTCAGAACTGCTGACTGAGAGGGCGAGCAGCTGTGTGCTGTGCTGGACCCTCCATTCTACACCGAGTCAGCGTGGGAAGGACAGACCTCTAGTGGCAGATTTCTGCAGATTTTCATTTCCAGTCCTCCCACCTGCACCCTCTCACGTGTTCAGAATCCGCAAGCAGGATATAGATCTTGTCCACGTGCTGTGCCTGTTCATTCCCTCGACAGCTTTATCCTCCAGACAGGATTCAGGTGTCAAGATGAAGTTCTTCATCTTATCTACCTTGTTCCTGGTGACTGGTGAGTGACTGAGGTATCTCTTTGTCAGGCTGGTTTGTACTCTACTGGGGAGGAGGCTGTGGTACTCTGTTGGAGAGGGAGAGTTGGCGGTTTAGGCCCCCAACACTTTGGGAAATGGAAAGTATACTAATCCCTCTTTTCTGTCCAGGCTCTATCATAACCAGAACCAAAACCATTTTGTTAAGGGCTTAAAAGCAGGTCTGATGGGGCTGGCATTATGGCACAGAGGGTTATGGCTGCAACTCTGGCATCCCATATCAGAGCAGTGGTTCAAGTCCTGGCTGCTCCACTTCTGATCCAGCTCCCTGCTAATGTGCCTGGGAAGGCACTGGAAGATGGCCCAAGTGCTTGGGCCCCTGCACCCATGTGGGAGACCCAGATGAATTTCAGACTCCTGGCTTTGGCATGGTCCCATGTGGGCCATTGTGACTGGGGAGCAAACCAGTGAAAGGAAGATTCTCTCTCTCTCTCTCTCTCTCTCTCTCTCTTTCTCTTTTCCTCTCTCTCCCTCTCTCCTAGTCTCTCCCTCTCCCCCTCTCCCTCTTATATTTCAAGTGAATAAATCAATCTTTAACAACAACAACAAAAAGACCTCCTCTGAATGACTGATAAGGTTCTTGGGCTGAAAAATGCAGGCATACTAGAGGGAAGGATGGTAGTTGGAGTCTGGAAGGAGGTGTAAGAATTTATAGCATACGTAACTAGTACCCAAACAGTACTTTACACTTTGTGTTTCTGTGTGGGTGCAAACTGTTGAAATCTGTACTTATTGAAAATGAATCTTGATGTGAATAGGATGGGAGAGGGAGTGGGAGATGGGAGGGTTGCGGTGGAAGGGAAGTTATGGGGGGGGGGAAGCCACTGTAATCCAAAAGCTGTACTTTGAAACTTATATTTATTAAATAAAAGTTAAAAAAAAGAATTTATAGCATACGACAAAGCAGAATCTGTTGTAAATTTCAAAAGGACAGGGCAGATTTTGCTTTCTTGGTTTTAAAATACCATGTGCAATAATAAATCTGTAATAATAATAATCACTACTACCACCACCACTACCACTACCGCCACATTACCATTATCACCATCATAGAAGCGTATTCTTTTTAAAAAATTTTATTTGTTGTACAAGTTTCAATATTTCATATATACATATTTAGAAACACAGTGGCACTACCCCCCCTCTAACCTCCCTCCCCCCTATGGTCAATTCTTCTATCCCCTCCCTCTCAAATTCCCACTCTAAATTTTTACAATGACCTATTTTCTTTTTTTTAAAAATTTTTGCCAGGCAGAGTTAGACAGTGAGAAAGAGAGAGACACAGAGAGAGAGAGTTACAGACAGTGAGAGAGAGACAGAGAGAAAGGTCTTCCTTCCGTTGGTTCACTCCCTTAATGGCTGCTACGGCAGGTGCTGCGCCAATCTGAAGCCAGGAGCTGGGTACTTCCTCCCAGTCTCCCATGTGGGTACAGGGACCCAAACACTTGGGCCATCCTCCACTGCCCTCCCGGGCCACAGCAGAGAGCTGGACTGGAAGAGGAGCAACCTGGACTAATACCCGGCGCCCCAACCAGGACTAGAACCTGGGGTGCCGACGCCGCAGGCGGAGGATTAGCCAAGTGAGCCACAGTGCTGGCCTCTATTTTCAATATACTTAAGATTTTATAGTTAACCTAACTAAGTAAGAGAGTTCAACAAATAGTGTGAAGAAACAAAACAAAACAAAACAAAACACTGTTCTTCAATGGAAGAGTCAAGGGTGATAAACAATCATTTATTCTCAAAATGTCCATTTAAATCCAATCCATTACATATCAGATACTCTATTACCTCAGATCAAGGAAAACATGTGATACTGTCTTTTTGGGACTGGCTTATTTCATCAAGTATAATGGTTTTCAGTTGTGACCATCTTGCTGCAAAAGACAGTATTTCTTTCTTTTCTTTTTTTTTTCTCTTTTACAGCTGAATAGTACTCCATAGTGTATTTGTACCACAATTTCTTTAGTCAATAGTTGTTGGACATCTGGGTTGATTCCATATCTTTGCTATTGTGAATTGTGCTGCAATGAACATGGAGGGGAGGGGCAGATAACTCTTTTATATACTGATTTCTTTTGGTTTGGGTAAATTCCCAGGAGTGGGATGGCTGGAATATAAGATAGGTCTACAGTCAGATTTCTGAGGTATCACCATACTGTCTTCCACAGTGGTTGTACCAGTTCACATTCCCAAAAATGGACCAGAGTGCCTTTTCCAGCACATCCTTGCCAACATTTTTTTTTTGTTGATTTCTGTATAGGAATCATTCTAACTGGAGTGAAATGAAACCACATTGTTGGTTTTGATTTGCATTTCCCTGATGGTGACCCTGAGAATTTTTTGTCTGCTGGCCACTTGAATTTCCTCTTTTGAAAAACGCCTGTTTAAGTCCTTTGCCCATTTATTAACTCAATCATTTGTTTTGTTGTTGTTGTTGTTGAATTTCTTGAGCTATTTGTAGTTCTGGATGTTAACCCTTTATCAGCTGTGTAGTTTGCAAATATTTTTCCCATTCTGTCAGTTGACCCTTATCTTTACTGAGTGTTTCTGTTGCAGTGCAGAAGCTCCTCAGCTTGGTGTAATCCCATGTGTCAGTTTGGCTTTGATTGCCTGTGCTTGTGGGGTCTTTTCCAAGAACTCTTTGCCTGTGCCAATGTCTTGCAGAGTTTCTCCAATGTTCTCTAATGATTTGATGGTATTGGGTTGTACATTTAGGCCTTTGATCCATTGTGAGTGGATTTTTGTGTAAAGTAGGGGTCCAGTTTCATACTTCTGCATGTAGAGATCCAGTTTCCCCAACACCATTTGTTAAAGAGACTGTCCTTGCTCCAAGGATTGATTTTAGCTCCTTTGTCAAGATAAGTTGGCTGTTGATGCATATATCATTTTATGGAGTTTCTATTCTGTTCCATCCATCTACAAGTATGTTTTCGTGCCAGTACCAGGCTGTTTTGATTATAATTTCCCAGTAGTATGTCTTGAAATGAGTTATTGTGATGCCTCCAGCTTTGTTTTTGTTGTGTAAGTTTGGTTTAGTATTCGGGGTCTCTTGTGTTTCCGTATGAATTTTAATATAATTTTTTCTAAATCTGCAAAGAATGTCGTTGGTATTTTGATTGGGATTGCATTGGATCTATAAATTGCTTTTGGTAGTGTGGACATTTTGATGATGCTGATTCTTCTCATCCATGAACATGAAAGATTTTTCCATTTTTAAATGTCTTTTTCTATTTCTTTTTTTTGTTTTTGACAGGCAGAGTGGACAGTGAGAGAGAGAGACAGAGAGGAAGGTCTTCCTTTGCCGTTGGTTCACCCTCCAATGGCCACCACAGCTGGCATGCTGTGGCCAGTGCACTGCACTGATCCAATGGCAGGAGCCAGGTACTTACCCTGGTCTCCCATAGGGTACAGGGCCCAAGCACTTGGACCATCCTCCACTGCACTCCCTGGCCACAGCAGAGAGCTGGCCTGGAAGAGGGGCAACCGGGACAGAATCCGGCGCCCCGACCGGGACTAGAACCTGGTGTGCCGGCGCCGCAAGGCGGAGGATTAGCCTAGTGAGCCGCGGCGCTGGCTTCTTTTTCTATTTCTTTCTTTAGTGTTTTGTAATTTTGATTGTAGAGATCTTTGATATCCTTGGTTAAGTTTATTCCAAGGTATCTGATTCTTTTTGGAGCTATTGTGAATGGGGCTGATCTTAAAAGTTCTTTCTCAACCATGACATTGACTGCGTATACAAAGGCTATTGATTTTTTTTGTGTTGGTTTTACAATCTTGCCCCTTTACCAAACTCTTCATGAGTTCCAGTAGTCTCTCAGTGGATATTTTTGGATTCCCTGTTTGTAGGATCATGTCATCTGCAAATAGGGATAGTTTGACTTGTTCTTTTCAAATCGTAATCTTTTGATTTGTTTTTCTTGCTTAATGGCTCTGGCTAAATCTCCAGGACCATATTAAATAGCAGTGGTGAGAGTGGGCATCCTTGTCTGGTTCTGGATCTTAGAGGGAATTCTCCCAACTTTTCTCTGTTTATTAGAATGCTGGCCATGTGTTTGTCATAAATTGCCTGATTGTGTTGAGAATTATTCCTCCTATACACAATTTGTTTAAGGTTTTCATAATGATGAAATTTTGGTAGATTGTATGTGTCTAAGAATCTACCCATTTCTTCTAGGTTTCCTGATTTCTTAGCTACACCTCTTTGTAATAATTCATGATGATTCTTTTTATTTCTGTGGTATCTGTTGTTAACATTTCCTCCTCACCTCTGATTTTATTGATTAATGTCCTCTCCCTCTTTTTTTTTTTGGTTAGTTGCTCCAGTGGTGTATCAATTTTGTGTATTTTTTCAAAAACGAGCTCTTCATTTCACTGATTTTCTGTATTTTTTGTTCCAATTTGTTTATTTATTCCTTAACTTTAATTCTTTCTTTCCTCCTACTCATTTTGGGTTTGGTTTGTTGTGTTTTTTCCAGGTCCTTGAGATGCATTGATAACTAGCTCATTTATTTGGGACCTTTCCAATTTGTTTATGTAGGCACCTATTGCTATAAAATTCTCTGTTAACACTGCTTTTGCTTTATCTCTTAAGTTTTGATATGATGTACTGTTGTCTTCATTTGTTTCCAGAAAGTTTCTGGTTATTCTTTGATTTCTTCTATGACCCTCTGTTTATTCAAGACCATGTTGTCCAGTCTCTATGTGTCCTCTCTCAGTTGGGCAGTAGGCACTGTTGTGGGTAAGTTGACGTGAGGCAAACGTGTCCCCTTCACTTCCACTGGGTCTGTGGGCAGCTGCCAGCAACCTCCAGTCCCTAGAACTTCAATCTGGACTTGAATCTGTGCCCATATGTGATGCTGGCACTGCAGGCGGCAGCTTTACCTGCTGTGCCGTGGCACCAGCCCCTCATTGTAGTTTTATTGTTCTTTTACCCATTGGTGAATAATGTTGAATATCTGTC